CTGCCAATACCAATACTTCACCACATTCTCTGTTTCCTCTCTCAGAAAGAAGCTGTGAGAACTTGTCTACTCTCCAAACAATGGCGCCACGTAGGATCAACCCGCCCGGACCTCGACTTCTCCGAAGAACGGTTCGACGACACACAAGAAAAGTCCGTCTCCGCCAACTGCTCCTCCATACTGCACTACATTCTCTATCTCCTCTGCAGACCATGGCGCCATAGAGGATCAACTCTCCCCAACCTCAACTCTTCCGGAAGCACAGGACAAAACTTTTTCGATGTAGTCAACCGAACCCTACAAGGATATCTTGATCAAAACCTCTCCATACACAAACTACATCTCGACTTCTCGAGGCCCGACTCACCAACAGCTGTCGTCCTTCTCGGAAAATGGATCCCGATGATAGCTGCCCTCAACATAAAAGTGTTCAAACTCAACTCTCGTTCATATACTCCGGCGTATTACAACCTGCCCTCGGTAGTCTTCTTAGCAGAGTCACTCGAAGAACTGCACCTGTGCCGATGCAGGGTGAGCCCGGTCGAGAGCGTGCGGTTTAAAATTTTGCGCACGCTCACCCTTCAACATGTCCAAGTTGATGGCGCCACTTTCGAGACGATAATGTTGGGCTGCCCTTTGCTCAGGCGTCTGGTCCTTACTTATTGTTTGGGGTTGAGAAACGTTAGGCTGAGCAAGGCGGCATCGCCTGGGCTCAAGCACTTTGAATTGGATAATTTCGAGTGGACCGAAGGGCATAGCATTGAAATCGATGTCCCGAATCTCGAAAAGGGCCGCATCGTGGGTCCATGGATTTGGTGTCACCACCAGAGCAAATTATTGTTCCCTCGTCTCACGAATTTGGATCTCAATAGTGTGATCCTGTCGAGAGAGTCGTTCGACCTGTTATCGTTCGGCTGCCCGACTCTTGAGAGCTTGACCCTATTTAGTTGCTCCGGTTTCGAGGAATTCCATCTTGCAAGTGATTCGGTCAAGTGGTTGACCATCTCGACAAGCAATATATTGCTTAAAGGAGCTACGATTTGTGCCCCCAACATTCTCAGGTTTACGTTCTTTGCCTGTATTCTTCAGCCGCTGCACACATTCTCTTTCACGACCACTACTTCCAAGGATTGGTCCTCACAAATATATCTCTCTTCGTATAAGGATGATCCTGATTTCAACGTTAATTGGTGGTTCCTTGAGCTGAGACGAATGCTCAAGGCACTAAGTGGGTCTCGGATTTCTCTATTTCTGCGGATGGACGGCGGCCCTCAGAACGTGCCTTGTAGTACTTTTCTCGGTGACGAGCCGCCTGTGATGGTAAGGGATTTGGATTTTGCTACTTGCAAATGTCGCACGGCATCTTGGTACTCGGACTTTACGAATGGCTTGTTTCGTGTTTGTCGACCGAGTCACGTACGGGGTGGTAGCTTCGTGAGAGTGTCGGACAAGAACTGCAGGCTCTCGGAGTTTCAGTTAAACATCTTGCTTGCAAACAAGAACGTCAGGACCGAGCCCTACTTTTGGTCGCACGATTTGGAACAAGTTCACGTCGATGGACAACTCGTGCAGTGGAGAGACCTGTCGAAATTGCGAAACAGGACGTATGACAGGGACATATGGCTTGAGTTGAAATGGAGAGGTCATAACTACTGCAAACTCTCTAAGCACTAATGCTTTTTATTGAAACTTAAAATATCCGGTTTTCTTTCTCTCCAGACGTTGAAGGCCTAGGCCTATTTTGTATGCTGTTATAGTGTTATGAAGTCAGGTGAGGATCCTGGTCAAGTGTTCACATCAGAATAGGTTGAAAAAAATAAAAAAAAAATAAAATAAACAATGTAATAAGAAGAACAAAAATGCTGCACAGATATATATATAGACTGACAAATGAAGTTTGTTGCCTTGAAATTGGATTTGAAAATTAATTGTTGACAAGTGAAATATACAAATGGGTTTAAAATATACCAACCTTCTCCTTTTTCGAAAAATGGTCCCAATAGCCAGTCGTCCACAGCGTGCGGCTTAACCGTCTGCGTAAGCTCACTGTCATCTGAGTCTTCATTAGCGACCGGACTTTGGAGAAGATTATGTCGGGCTGCCCTTTGCTTAGCCATGTTTTACCTTACAAAGTGTGAGGGGCTGAAAAACGTTAGACTAACCGAGGCGGCATAGGGTGGGCTCAACTACTTTGGATTTAAGAATTTTAAGGGGATCAAAGGTCGTAGCATCAAAATCGATATCAATGTCCGTATCGAGGGCAATGACAGGCTCATGAAGTTGGTCCCACCGCCAAAGCACGTTCTTCTTCTCTCGGCTCACTAGTTTGTATCTGTTGGGAAAAATACGCTGAAATTTCCATGAAGTCGGATCTATAAAAATGAAATAAAATAAAAAATTGGACACACAATATTGATAACGGAGTTCGGCCAATAATGCCTACGTCTCCGGACTACTGCAGATATTTTATTAGGAGAAAAGAAAACACTCGTGTTTACAAAACACTCGCAAACTCACTCACAACTCACAACACAAATACACACAGAAGCTAAAATTTTTGCTCCGCGTTCCCTCTCTTTTTCTCTCTTTCTCTCTTGTGTTTCTGTATTTTGTTGTGGTTGTTTCTCAGAATTTGCATCTGTATTTATAGGGAAAGAAGACCTTAAATTTTCCACAAAGGTGTGCTAATATTTTCTTCAATTGTGGCAGAAGTAGGTTGCTTCTTTTTTCTTTTCTTCCATTGTGTGCTGTCAAAAGAATGGGCTCAGCACCCAAATTTTGACTCAACAATCTCCCACTTGAGGACTGATTTCAATCTGTCCTCACACCTCCATTACTGCAGTAGTCTTCTTCGGTCTGTTACTCTAGCAGGCCAACTGAAGTTGAGCACAACTTCAGTTTGTCAATGGTCACCACCTTCGTTAGCATATCTGCTGGGTTCTTGCTTCCTACAATCTTCTTTAAAGTCAACACTTCATCCTCAAGCAGAGATCTGATGAAATGATATCGTATGTCAATGTGCTTAGTTCTGGAGTGAAACACTGAGTTCTTTGCCAGATGTATCGCACTCTGACTGTCACTGTGCAAGATACTCTCTTTTTGAGTGAGACCCAACTCTGCTAACAATCCTTGAAGCCATATCAATTCTTTACTGGCTTCTGTCACTGCTACATACTCAGCCTCTGTAGTGGATAAAGCGACAATCTTTTGTATCCGCGACATCCAACTAACAGCTGTAGCTCCGACAGTGAAAACATAACCGGTGGTGCTTCTTCGGTGATCAACTTCGCCTTCGAAATCTGCATCTACGTAGCCCTGTAACTTTAGATCTCCTTTTCTAAAATACAGACATTTTTCTGTTGTGCCTCGTAGATATCTCAAGATCCATTTGACTGCTTCCTAATGAGCTTTTTCTGGTTTTGACATAAACCTGCTCACAACTCCCAGTGCATGGCCAATGTCTGGCCTCGTACAGACCATCGCGTACATCAAACTCCCAATGGCTGAAGCATAAGGAATCTTAGCCATAAACTCTTCTTCTTCCCTTGTTTGAGGAGACTGATCCTTGGATAGACGAAAATCGCTGGCCAAAGGTGTACTCACTGGTTTGGCCTTGTCCATGTTAAATCTCTGCAAAACACGGTTGATGTACTCTACCTGAGATAACTGCAAAACTCCCTTTTGCTTATCTCTCGTGATCTGCATTCCAAGAATCTTCTTTGTTGGGCCTAAGTCCTTCATGTCAAATTCATTTGACAACTGCATCTTTAAATTTCTGATGTCTTTCATATCTGATCCCGCTACTAACATGTCACCGACATAAAGTAGCAATATGATATAGCTGGACTCATATTTCTTGAAGAAACAACAGTGATCAGCATTGCACTTCTGGAATCCTTCCTTGTGCATGAAGCTCTCAAATTTCCTATACCACTGTCTTGGAGCTTGTTTCAGGCCGTACAAGCTCTTCTTCAATCTGCACACCATATCCTTCTTTCCGTCTGAAAAACCTTCAGGCTGGTGCATATAGATCTCCTCGTCTAGGTCTCCGTGAAGAAATGCAGTCTTCACGTCTAACTGCTCTAGGTAGAGCTCTTCACTAGCCACAATACTTAACACAGTCCTGATAGTATTGAGCTTTACAACTGGAGCAAAGATTTCAGCGTAGTCAACTCCTTCTTTCTGCTGAAATCCTTTGACAACCAGTCGGGCTTTGTATCTCTTGGAACCATCATGGTCTTCCTTCACCCGATACACCCATTTGTTGTGAAGTGCTTTCTTTCCCATGGGTAACTTGACTAGTTCCCATGTCTGATTTGAGATCAAGGACTTCATCTCGTCCTTCATGGCAAGATCCCACTTGCTAGCATCCAGGGTTTGACAAGCCTCCCAATAATCTTCAGGTTCTCATCCATCGGTCAACAACATGTAGTCCATGTATCTTCTATTAGGTACATGGGGCCGAGAGGACCTTCTCAATACAGGAGTTGGAATAGAAGGTTCTGATTGTTCACCGCTTTCTTCATTTAATTCCTCTGACCGAGGATTTCTTATTATCGGAATGTCTGGAATATCTTCCACCTCTGCATAAACTGGCCCACTCGCTTCTGAGTTGCTGGCACTTGTGTTATGCCGATCCTTGTACATCACTCTTTCATTAAAGATGACATCTCTGCTGCGGATCATCTTTTTGCTTTCATCATCCCATAAGCGGTAGCCAAACT